CCCATCCTGTTTTCAAATTGAAACGTTCTGTCTTCCTGCCTTAAAAGCTGACTTTTATCAGAAGTGATGCTTCTATTCTTCACTGGTGATTTATTCTCTTAGCCAGATTTCTGTCAGTCACAGCCAGAGCTGCAAGTGCACTTGCAGCTCCCATGATGCCTCAGGCTTTTCCCTTTCAATGGCTGGGTGAAGGCAGGCAGGTTCAGGGCGGAGGAAACAATGGGGCTCTGACAGGCTCGCTTTCTGATGGCCTCATGTGCCTTGTCGGTTGTGATAAGTTGCTTGAATTAAGAAAATGGAGGCACAGCTGAGCATGCTAATAGAGTAATTGTGCCGGAAACCCACCAGGTCTTTCGGAAAAGTCTCCACACCCCCTCACCCCATACTTCCTCACCTCCTCTCACCATCCAACCCCCCCCAACAGTTTTCCTCATCAGCTTTGCCAAGGGCTTGCAGAGTTATTTTAACCAGTTTATTTCCCATCAAAATGACCAACACATCCCATCCAGCTCCTTTTTGCTTAATAACCCCACATCAATATGAAGAAAAAGACAGAAAAGTCTTTGTATTAACACATCCAAGGGTGCAGACAAAACACGTCTGTGAACACAGCATAGCTTTCACACATTAAGAAATCTGTCCTCGGTCCGGAGGCATTTGATAGTTTCATTTTGGCATGGATCCCAGAGGGGCCCGAGTGCAGCTGCTTCCATTCTGCTCGTCTATTTTGGAGAGAGAAAGGCAGGCAGGCCTGTCACAGCAGACATATGAAGTCTGTTGCTTAAAGACAAGCAGGGGTCTCAAGGTTATGTCTCCTGAACAATAACCATGCCCACTTTCTGTTGACCTCTACCTTTCACCCTGAATCTAGCATGAAGACAATGCAGATAATCTCTCAGTTTATCCACATCATGTTGCCTCTGTGTGCATCTTAACTGATTTTTAAAATATATTTTCAGTATATGGGCAGTGACTCTTGTCACCCTGCCACCTACCGAACAGATCTCTAATCAAATTAGGCTGAGGTGGAGGAATTCATCGTGCTACTAACCATCTGCCTCCTAAACCCGTCACCACTGCCTTGGTGCCTGACTAGTACCTTTACTGGTCTGAATTAAAGACAGTATGTGAAAAAACACTGTAGTTAACAGCTTCCTCCTAAATGTAATGTCTTTTTGTGAGAAAATATTTAAGCTTTTGCTGCTTGGGAAATGTTAATTTTCCAGGCTGGATGAAGAAAGGTAAATGGTCCAAACATCTCCTACACAATGCACATAGGTCCAAGGACCATCCGTAACTGACCAAAACATTAAGATAAATAGATAATAAAAACCAAATAGTTTAGTGTCAGGTATACCCAAGGCAATGCATGTGGGAAAATGGCCATTTACGGTACCATTCATTTTGGTCTTTACATTGTTTCTAGTTCCTTTCCAGGTGGCTGTTTTCAATGGACTTGTACCGCTTGATAAATGTACAACCTGTACCAAATTTGTTGTTTTCAACACAAGCTCTCCCAGACTGCCTTTCGTAGGAGTAACGTGAGCAAGCAAACATCTCTAAAATGTAGATGGTGGGGGGGAAGGGAAGTCACGTGTGTAGCCTCAGTGCCATCTTGTTGACACAGTCTGCACTCTGTGCCATCTAATTCCCGGATGCAGGATCATCCTGTCCTCCAAATCTCCCCAAATCCCACAGACAGTGGTCCCTGAGTGGCCCTGTTTACCCCAGCCCCGCCAGCCACGGCGGCCTCAGACCCCCTTGCCGTTTTCTCCCGCACTACACAGTCATGCACTCATCAGTTAATGCTGAACATCTGGAGGGATTAGCAATGTCAGGCCAATCAGAGTTGAGCTGACAGATCCCAATGAAATGCCATTCTGCAGCTGCACTCTGCATTCAAGTGCTTTCAGATTCCCATTTGTCCTCCTTTCTCTCTCTCCTGGCTTTTTTCTTTCCACTCCTCTTCTCCGTTCATACTTTCCTCCTTCATTCTGATCTACAACCTCTTTTTCTGTCTTCTTATGCATTAAATCATCTTGCCTAGGTTACATTTGGAGACAAACTGCAAGACTAAAAGTCAGTGATAGAAAAAAGGAATATATACATTGCACATTTGAGTATATAACATCAAACATTATGTTCTGTCATGTTCTTTTGTTTGTCCATAATCTTTAGTTTCTTCTTGCCTGATTATGGTTTAATAAGCTGGGAGTCAGGCACATTATTAAGTAGGAGGACAAGTGAAAAAGGGAGACAGAAACAGAAAGAAGAGAGGAAGTGAAGTTGGCTCAAGGCACCACCTGCTCCAAATGTTTGCAGCCATAAATCTTCTGCGCTGTACAAGGCAGAAAAACACCAAGTCAGAAGTGCAAAACGAACTTTCCACCCAGATGCTAATGTGAGTAGTTTTTTGTGTAACCGCAGATAGTTTGATACAAGTTAAATGTTGATGTGATTTCAGGTATTTACCTTTTTTTTTCTTGGAGTCACAGCTGCAATAGACAGAAATAGTTGCATTTGATTAGATTTTTTTTTTTTTACTTTTCTTGGCAGAACCACAGAACCAAGGTTTTAAAAGTTAGCTGAGCAACTGCTGCTACTGTGGCTGGAACCTCAAATACAAATCTTGAAAAGTTTAGTTTATTATTAAGCTTGAAATTTTAGTTTTGAGCTTTGGTTGATTAAATTAGTCTTAACACAAATTAAACATACTGTGTTTTTCAGATCAAATCATAAGATGCATTAGAAAACATGAGAAAAGTTGAATATTTATCAAAGTAGCTGCAAGAGCTCTATGCTTAATAGCATTAGTTGATTGTTTAACACATTGTTCATTATTTAACTCTGATATTTAACATAATCATAACTTTTCTTCTTGAACTGCTCATTATGTTAACAAATGCAGGCGATAAGACTTTTTAGGCCCTATTAGGCCACTACATCGGAAGCTGAGAGTCACTTCTCATAGCACATTATATAAGCTCAAAAGTTAGTGCAAATAAACAAATTCATTCTCCTGATGAGACCCCACTGACATCCATCTACTCCACTGATGATGAAATCACGAGAGCCAGTTGCTGGAATGCACCAGCAGCCTCGGTTCTACTGGGATTAATCGAAGGAGTTTGCTGAGCTTCACATGGACACACGGGGCTCGCATCTGATCCCAAACAGCTGCTTAGTGGACAGGGATTTGTTTTTAGGTAGGAGTTGAATCTAAGCACACTTATGCATGTTCAAGTGCTGCCATGTTTGTGTGAAAGAACTGGTTATTTAGCTTTCTTCAAATCCACAGTAATATTATAAAATTTTAATTACAATAACGTTTTATTACTTATGCTAAATAGGAACGAACAGCACACGCTTTCAGCTTATGAAGACAAGGGGGTTCATTGTCGTAAGAACACAGGTGCGAACCATCTTGTTTGGTTTAGGAACATTCATGAATCAGATGAAATCTTTTCTTCTGACCTTTTTAAGAACAACTTAGGAAAAAAAAAGAAAAACTTAGGAAGACATCAGTGAATGAGGCCCTCTGCCCTCAGAAGGTCTTGACCCTGCAGTAAAAGTGTTTCAGCGTATTTGGCTGGGAAAGCACCTGTTGTCTCACTGAGTGTTTTCAGAGTGAGTTACAGCCTGGTGCAAACAGGAATTCCTTACTGTTTGCAGCAGACTGAACATACTGTTCAGGCTTTTCTCTGAAATAGTTTCACCTTTTCTGATTTGTACACACCTCAAACACCTTCACAAAAGAGCACAGATGCTCGCTCTGGGTTTCAGGAAACATTTCGCAAGAGCTAGGGGTTTCTTTTGTTCTATTCGTGGCATGTGTGTGAAACTCATCAGCACTAAAATCACACATAGTGTGAAAAGACACATGAGAATTCACAGACCTAATGTAGCAACAAAGAGCGGATCATATGTAAAGGCACTTAATGCAGTTATGATTAAGTTCTCATCTCTGAGGGTTACTACTGAGGTTGTGAAACCATATACGTCCAAGTGATAATACTGTCAGGAGAGTGCTGATTTCCTGTTGTTGTCATCTGGCACCCATTTCACATGAAGATAATTAAAGAAATTAGCCACCATGTGGAATGTTTTCTCTTGACAGAGTGAGAGAGAAGCCTTCCAGGAGTGCTCTCAGTTTCTGATTCATAGTTCCTGACCAGACCTTCAAAACACACACACACAGAGACACAGACTCTCTCTCTCCCTTTCCCTCTTTGCTTCTTTCTTTGAGATCACACACCATGTATGTGTATGCATGCTAACAGACACACAAAAACCAAAGCTGCCTCCAAACCGAACCAGATGCTTTGCATTAAAAAGCAGCAGGACTCTCCTCTCAAACTCTCCACTGAAGAGTACAGTCGGTCTCATTGCTCTTCTTTATTCTTCTGCAACTATCTATTTGTCTTTTTTCTCCTCTGTCCTTATTAGATTACAATTCATTCACTTGATGCTCACTTAGGAAAATAATTGCAGCATCACTTATTCAATTTTTAATATCAACTTTCATTTTTATTTTCTATGCAGTTTTTCACCTAAAGCAGCAAAGAGTGTTGTTAGCCCTTCCCTCTTAGACGCCTGTCACTCAAAGCTTTGAAACAGCACGCTGCCTGAGACCGGTGTAACTGGCAGCCATGTAAACCCATCACATGCGCTAAAAAGAGCTGACAAAAAAAGATAAAGAAAGGCTATAATGTCTACTACAGGTTTGAAAAGGTCATATCTAACATCAACTTTCTTTTGTGCAGTATCACTTGCTAGAATCTTGTACAGCGATGACGCCGCTAGCGTCACGCTAATAACAGTCCAGCTGTAAAGCAAAAGGTGATCCTTTTCTTATACTTTACATCTGAGTAAGTTGGGTCGGGGTGAGTCTGGTGATGTGTTAATGTGCTATTAGTACAAACTGAACTCTTCCTTCAACTGCTTTACATAAAGAAAAAACATTTCATGGTACAAACCATTGAAAGGCTTTTATTGTGAAGTGGCCACATAGGAAGTGCTGGCACAGTGACTGTGGGTAGTAACTGGAAGAGTCCTTGTTTCAGACTGGATCCATCTGTACTTATTTTAAAGACGTTTGTGGCAGAGCATTCAAGGAAAGAACCTGAGGAAAAGGGAAGACGAGGTTAATGTAGCAACCCCTTAGGGGGAAATTACACTTCAGATAATCCTCCAGCCTCCATTCCTGAAATGCTGAATGTAAACTAATTTGATAAGTTATCTTAATGTGAAAAGACATGCATATTGCAGTGTTAAATGGTGTTGCAGTGCTTGAACATGCTGTAAAACTTCCTCCTGTCAGACCTGGTGCTGCCCTTCCATAGTCCTAATTGCTAAGTGGTAAAACTGATACAGGAAATGCTCCTAAATTAGTGTAATTTTGTCATAAAAGCCTCCTCTACTTCCTCCCTCCTGTGTCCTGCTCTCCCCCAACCCTCTACTCCCACTTCCTGACTATCACAGGCAGGTTCCTCTCCTGACATTCCAACTCTGCCCTCCACCACCACTCCCCATATCCTCTCTCATCTCACTTCTTGCAGCAAACCTTCCATTTCTGTATTTTGACAGAGCTTCACTTCAAATACAAAATGGATTCCTCTTCGCAGTATATATTCTGTATTTATTTGGTTTTTATTGTTGTGCACATCGGGGACCATTAGGCTGGAGTCAAATTCCATGTATTTTTGATAATACTTGGCAATAAAGCTTATGCTTGACTGTTACACAGATGACATTATTATTGTATTCTTGTATGCATGGTGCTCACCAAGTTAAATTTGTGCATACATTTTCAGCTGTGTTCAAGTCAGAGCTGGATATACAGTATGATTACAAACATGATTGTGAACCGTCAACACAAAAAGATTACAGCTGCCAAAAAGTTCAAGACTCAACTATGCCATAATAACACTAAGGCTCCTTTGTATTTTTAATGTCTATCATGGAGTAAAGGCTCCTGTTGTTGCACATGCAAAGTCATTATGGACACCTAAACTGGTGAAATATAATGGATTACAACTGCAGTTCCAACTGAAGGGATCTTTGGTAACTAGACACAGAGGAGGGAGTTAATAGAAGTCAGGACATGGCTATGGTTAGAAATAGGAGAGCAGTCCACGAGGCTTGTTACGCCAACATCACTTTTGCTTTAAAGGCAAATTGCACTAGAGATATATGGCCCATAAAGCCCGTCAAACCTCAGTGCATGTGTACGCAAATCACGAAAACCTGCCATAAAAGGAAGCCAAAAATAAAAGGCATAAAACAAGAACAGAACAATCGGTTGAAGTCTGGTGGTGGGTGCCATGTGTCAGTGAGGAGACGAGAGGTGGGGGTGGGCACATGCACCATATGTGCATTTCTAATGCATATAATATGTGGTTGAATAGGTCTCACAGGTACCACGGCAGCAGTTCACCATGAGCTGCTGTTGTAAAAAAAAACAACCTTGGAGGCATTTTTCCAAAATTGATTTAGGCTTTCATTCATCTTTTTGTGGTGTTTTATGACCCAGGGAAACTTCTAACAAAGCTAATTCTTTCAAGCATAATGTCCCTGCTGCCAAGAAAATAAGTCTTTCTTTCTTCATCATGAAAAATGTAATTTTGTGGATACACTTAGTAATGAAGACATGCTCCATAGCCTTTAATAACACTGATGCCTCAGCTATAGGAGGCTATTCCCATGCAATATTGCAGGTGTTCTCTTTCCC